ATATTACATTATATTATAATAGGTTAGATTAGAATCTATATAACATAGGTTATAGGTTGTATTAACCTATATAATATAACCTTAATACAACCGTAATATAGGTTATATCAACCTGTATAATAAAAGCTTGTAATGTAGGTTATATTACATTATATTATAATAGGTTAGATTAGAATCTATATAACATAGGTTAGATTAGAATCTATATAACATAGGTTATAGGTTACCTATATAACCTATATAATATAAGCTTATATTAATTATATTATAACAGGTTAGATTAGAATCTATATAACATAGGTTATATCAACCTATATAATATAAGCTTGTAATATTATAATATAATGTAATATAACCTATATTACAATATAGGTTATATTACATTATATTATAATATAGGTTAGATTAGAAACTGTATAACATAGGTTACGTCTATAATTGTATTGTGGTACAACATTATAGGAGATATAACATTACTGGAAATATTTCTCCGTAATATTAAGTACTAGGTACTTTGTAATACTTTTAATACGAAATAGCAGCGTTTACAAAAACTTCAGAGCATCTTGAAAACGAGGAATTACATAGATACGTATAACGTACCACTTGTATAATTTAGGGCGAAGACAAGTCGAATCCAATTTACGATAAAATTGGCTGTGTCTCAGAGTGGAGTGGCTAGTATTTACCAAGTTATCGTTATCGCAAACCTACACTTTGGAGTGTGCTGGTGCAATTCTGTTGTACTATCGTAGAAACAGTCTGACAATGAGCCTACCGAGATAACGATCTGTTGCGTGCTTTCCGAGATAGTGACATGTGATTCTACTGTTCGATCTTTAATGGGTTTCGCTTCACTGGCAACAAGTAAGTACCAATGACTCACCGGTGCGATATAATTTGAAGAATTACGGCTGTAGATATCAGTTAATGACCGTGAGGTCATTCCTCTCTTTCAAATCAATTAAATTGGAATTTTTTTTTCTTTCTAGCTCGTTTCTTCTTCTTATCTAGGAGATAATGTGCCTGTAATTTAAACGGTACATCAGAGTCACATCTTTTAATCACGTGAAACGCAACGCAACGAAAGATTCTGTTTAGAATCTCCACTCTGATAAAAGATGAAGATTGGTTTACTCCGAATGATTTACTGCTTTCTCGAGCTAATTTACGTAGAAACGGCAGGGCGATGAAAAGTATCAAATTAGATCGACAGAACTGCAATTCATCTGCCTCGTATTTTCTGGCCTGCCGCGTTTCTAGTCAATTTAACGGCTGCAATGTTGCTGTAATTTTCTTTTTCCTTCTCTCTCTCTCTCTCTTTCTCTTTCTCTTTCTCCGCGTGTCAGCAAAGAATTCGAAAACGGCAGCGCGTTCATGGCTGAGTAAGTTAAGCTTGTCCAAGTTTAGATGCCTTTCTCTGTGTTCTGTCCAATTTCCTATTTGCCGATGCACACGAATAACGTTCAAAGGTCTTTGTGCACTTTGCAGTCTTTGGAGGATAAGAATATTGCTACTTAAAATGTTGGGAAATTCTATTCGATTGGTATAATCTATATCATATTATACTTTTGCTTATATAGGTTATTATACCTATATAAGTTACAATAGAATATTATATACCTATATAGGTTATAATGTAATATAGGTTATAATTAATATAACCTATATAAATATTCCTATATAAATGTAACCTATAGGTTAATATAAGGGTTATAATTATATTATGAGTTATAATATAAACTATTATATTATGATATAATACTTATAACCTATTATAGGTTATAATATAATATAGGTTATATTATAACCTATGTTATACTATAGGTATACTATAGATTATATATTATAACGTATATTATAGTAAGGAATAGCTATATATAGGTTATAATTATATTATAAGTTATAATATAACTTATTATATTATGATATAATACTTACATTATAACCTATTATAGGTTATAATATAATATGTATAGATTATAATATAATATATGTTATATTATAACCTATGTTATACTATAGGTATACTATAGATTATATATTATATTATACATTATATTATATTATAACCTATATTATAGTAGCGAATAGCTATATATAGGTTATAATTATATTATATTATAAGTTATATTATATAATTATATAATTATATAATTATATTATAAGTTATAATATAACCTATTATATTATGATATAATACTTATATTATAACCTATTATAGGTTATAATATATATTATGATATAATACTTATATTATAGGTTATAATATAATATATATAGGTTAGAATATAATATAGGTTATATTATAACATATAGTATATATAGGTTATAATATAATATAAGTTATATATTATATTATATATAGGTATATTATAAGAGTATATATTAAAACTTACATTATAGTAGCGAATTATATACTGAATAGGCTACGAACGCTATTGTTGCAGAGGAATAAACTAAAACAAAGGTAAAAAAAAGTAGGATCGCAATTAAATAATTTCTCTCATCTTACTTTTCGAAACATTTCTTTATCTGTAGATAGGTATGAGCACAGTTAACCAGGTATCTTGGACATTGACTGCCAGCGGATGTGAAGGAGGAAGAACACGTAACATCTAAACGAACTGTCTACGTTAGCTTAAATTTACACCAACTTACACTTTGCCAGATATCTATGATTATCTCATTTACTGCAGCTACTTCGACCATTACTTTAATGGTTGTGGATTACAAATTCGAGTACGGATTTTATATGCGATCTATTGCAACTTTTGGTTCTTACCTCTTACAGACAGCGAGATGCAAGATCTACGTAAAATAAGACACAAGACTAATCGATCGGTCGAGTAACTATTTGCCCTCGATTAGGAGCAATTTCAGAGTGTACGTGTAAACACGTTAATTTGCAGCTGGTCTCGTCAGCAAGTAGACAAGCGCGACGCGAAATTTCTCTCGGTACGGGTCGTTGGAATTGTAAAAGGATACTTTCGCGAGGGAAAGCATATCTTTTTCCTCGCGAGGAGCACGCGTTCCCGGAGATGGCGGCGCAGCGAGTTGTCGAAGCGGCGAGGCGGCGACGGGGAAGAGTTGGAGAGGCCCCCGAGGCCCGGCCAG